GCACAAACGGTGTGCTATCTCGAGACACCGACCACGGATTGCAAAGGTAGCGGTTGGGACAGCTCGGGCAAAATGTTACTTGTTGTGCGCAAGTTTTAGTTTGCAATTTGATGCCGAGATGGTGAAATGGGCTCGAGTCTGCTGGTTATTTAGGGCGCGCAGACACCAGACAGACAGACAGACAGACAGACAGCCATCGCGTAATTTTCACGCCCCTGTGCATGAAAATTATTCTTTTTCTCGTGCGCACATACTCCACACACGATCCCTCTAAACAGCTTTTTTTTCCAAAACAAAAAGCGTACCCCTGAACGGGGCACACTTTTCGCAAAAAAAATAACTATTAAAATACACTGAAAGAGGCAGTTCACCTCTATCTCGCCACGAAAAATGGCGCGACCACTGTCGCCATAATAAAGAGGATGAATACGCGAAGACGCACACACCATGGAAGTACGTGTGTTTTCGACAAATTGAGAACTCCGCCGTCGCTACTTGTAAGCCTTGGGCGATGTCGATACCGCATGTTTTTTGATGTACTAAACGACACTGCTGTAGAGGCCCCGTTTGTGTAGCGCCTGTATTTTCACCGGCACTATTCCAAGTATAGGATCACGAACGACTTGGTTACAAGTGTATTCCGTCTACACACGCAAAAAAACAACACAGCGACACTACACCGGGCACCAGCCCCACTACAGTCGGATGAAGGCTATCGGCGCCAGGTACTCGACCTTCCTTTTGATGCAAGCGCTGAGCGCGATTCAGCCGGTACAACGTAGGGGCACACGTGCTGTGGGAGCACGGGATTGAGGTCGTTGTAGGATTAGCGCTAGGCAAGCCGTACGAAAGTGGCATGTGTCTTGCTCCATAACTGCTCCCACCTGATACCTGTGTCAACCCCCCCAAAGATATCTTATGCAGATCGCGTAAAGTCTGCTAGGGAGTTTACAGCTATGCATTGCCACTACAGTACAAACTGTTGTGTAGGATATCGGTTCAATCAATCGATACGAACGATATCGATACTGCGAAGCGAGCAGGTGGACACAGTGAGCTGACGCGCGAATGCGCGAAAGTTCGCTGTGTGAGCCCAAGCGCCCCCCCCCCCCCAAGCTGGCCAAGGAGCATCACAGGAGGCACCAGAGGCTCGCCATTTGGAGCTATTTTGCGCCATTTCCCATCACCGTTGTCGAGAAGTTGGCCTCAGGAAGAGGCCGAAAAAAGCCAGCTGAACACGTGTATGTGGATGAACACATGATATCGGAATATGCAGCATATGTTTCCATCATTCATGCAATTTACTGGAAAATAGGCAACTATTCCTCCGAAGCTCAGTGGTATCGCAGATCATGAACAAAGATAATATGTTTGTCTCACAGTATGTAAAAAGCCAAGCTCGCACAATGAGATTAAAAAAAAAGCGAATTGTTGCGACACACAGCCCGTTGCATTTGGTCTACGTCAACAGACAATTCGCAGAGAAGAAGGATCATCCTCTCGATGTCCGCTTAGGCTTGCGTTTTGATGTCGACCATGCCCAATGCTTCCTCCACGTCATCAGCACATGCGGCAGACGCAGTTGCCCCCCCGGACGAAGCGCCTATGCAACCCCAGCATTGTAGCGTGCAGCGTGGGGTTTTGTGTGTTTTGTATTTTTTGCATCGAACGCGCTAACCTACTGACCAATGAAAATACGTCAGTCTCAGCGCGACTGAAAGCAGAAATATATGTGTTTGTGTATGCTTGGGTTTGACACCTTTCGATTATCGTCTGCTGCTGCGATGTGGTGCCATGGTACGATGCGAAAGAGTAGGCCACGTGTGAACGTCTACAACAGCAGTAGTAGTCTGAAGGTTTATGGGACAACAAGGAATTCTTGGCCATATATTGTCGAGGCAAAACATACGTGGCACGGCATGGCTCCTCCCGCACTCAAGGACGAAGTTGCCTTCACATTCAATGAAATATTGGCGAATGTTGCCAAGCGACTTTCATCGAGAGCATTGAAATATTCGAGCAATGGGCGATGGGAACCAAATGGCTCGTGCCAAAGTCTTCCTCTCTTGCGAGGGTAGTGCTACTACAGAATTTCGCCAATTCCTTTTTCTGCACAGGGAAACATGAACGCAATCTCCCTTCTTGTTTCTGAAAGCTTCAACAACCCGTGTGTATCTTTCCGTTGCTCTATCATTAGGAGCGTACGCCGAACGAAGTCTTGGAGGACATGGCCTCCAAGTTCACCTTCCATTTCATTGGCGACAGTACCATCCGCAGACTCGGGGAGAGCTTCGTGTCAATATTCACGGGACAAGGATCAAAACATGAGATAGTTCACAGCGACTTGGACTTCTCTACAGGGAATCTAGAGGTGCGCAAGTTGCCCTAAGAAGGTACAAGCAGCTAGAGATGACACGCTTCCATTCCGATCACCGTTCTAGCTATTGATAGCTTGCCTACGCACCGCCGTGGATTGCTGTCGTACTAATAGCATACCTCTTATAAACTGGTTGGAGTCTGTGGGTCAGAATTCTGGCAACCTCCTCATGATATGGTTGAAATTCACAAATATTGCGTGGTATCTCCGACTTTTATCCGACGCTGTCGAGCGCGTCTTCCGTGAAACACTGCGGGAAGAAGCTCCCGACTCCTCGGTGATGGAACCATTGAAGCGTTAAAACGTCAAGACGCGCACAATATCTCTTTGGGCCATTCCCACACGTCCGACCGAACGTCTTTTGTAGAGCCCGCAAGGCCGTACGTTAGGCAAGATATATTCACCGCAGGCAACGAAATAAACTAGTGTCAAGAGTGCTGCTGCAAGGCTGTTTCGCCTCTAAACTGCTATAGGTGTTTCAAGCTGTTATTAACAAGCCAAGGGTCGTTCAAGGTATACATTGTTCGACGATCACTTTCGGTTGGGCATTGCTGCTCCATTCCTTGGAGCAACCTGTGCCCGTCAGGCGAGCGTATGTCAGCGAGCGTTGTATCTCCCACCGCCTATTATATAGAGTGATATGGTGAAACCGGACCTAAGGAAGGTCCAAGTCGATACACGGGGCTGTCCTTGGTATCGTACACTGCACGACTCAGACATCGTCAAACCTAGGGCGACCAACGAAATAACTGACGCGTTGTCCGCACTTCCCAAAAAAAACAGGTTCTCTTTTACTGGTCACCGTTCTGTTTTGGGCCTGAGAGCGTTGGCTCGAAACTGGCGACCGTCATGGACGGAGTGCAAGCTGCGAAGAGGGGCGACAAGCGCACCGTGATCATCACAGCATTTGGCGTCCACGACTCGTATGAGCTACCGCTGCTAGACAAGGGGAGTGCGAGCACCTCGTACATGGACGCCCTCCCTCCAGACTTCGTTGACAGTGGAGGTGTGAGGACCGCCACCCTTGGCGCTTGTCAGGCCACCACTGCCCAGCTTGTACAAGCAGCTGCAGCGAACGTGATGGCATGGACCGACCCGACCGCGGAGAAGGGGCAATTGTCGAAGGCGGTGCACGCTTCGCCGAACACTACCAGGAGTACCACGGAAACCAACGGGGTTTCGTTTTCATTCGGAGCACCTGGCACAACAGCGGCAACGGACCCCACACCCCCGCTGGTCTTCCTCATGCAAAACAACCTATACCCTCCAAACTCTCCGGAAGACAACTACCTCGAAGACCTCCGTCGACTTCAGCGACAAGAGGTTCAGGAGTGGGAGGCAGGCGAGGGCAATGAGGACGCTGAGGGAGGCATTTTTCTTGTAGACGACAGCGTTAGTCTCTTCCGTAATTTATCTTGCTACCGCGAAAGCAACCCTATCCATTTCCATGAGCCCGTGAAACTCGTGGAAGGAAAGATGCTTTGGGACCTGGTTGCACTCGTCGAGCGCGAGAGCGCATCGCCTCTCGTCCCCTGATCGGGCGGCGTGGGTTCCGATGGTCGCGGTGGTGCTGAGCGCGTTTTGGTGATATAAAATTATTTGTGTGTGTATATGTCCGTGGTTGCATGTTGCTGTTCTCATCTGATGAAACGCTTGGGCTCCTGTGCGCCGGCAACGCCTGATAGAGGTGGACAATTGGTGCAGAGACGTGGCCAGTTCATGTATGCGATACCTTCGAAGGAATATTGAGGGCGTAACTCGCCCGATCCTGTGCGTGTTGAATTCAGACGAAGTGTTTCGAAATAAATGCACTCACATTGGTGTGATGGATAGTAGACAAAGTACTGTATGTATCTGTAATGCGTTCACATAGGTTTGAGCACACGAGCTCGTAGGCATCCGCGAACAATTTCCACCGTCCGCATCATCAGTGGATCTCTTGGGTGACGCTCGTGGAAACGTTATAGGCGTCAGAAGGCTTTAACGTGTGAAGAAGGTAGAAGCCCATGGTTTCCGAGGACAGTTGATTTGGTCGCGGGTTCAAGGTTGAGGGCCAGATTTCTCGAGAGGACCTGGATTGTATGTGTGAAAAAGTTATTTTTTTGTCCTTCGGCGCGCGACCGTATTTTTTTTAGCTTTTACACTTGGTTTTAAAGTTGAAAATTCCGGATAACAGGCATTCATAAAATACACCCCCGGAGAAAAAAAAATTACGGGTGATTGGTTGGTGTGCTACCTGCTGTTGAGCCGTCGCAGGAATGTCAGAAAAATGTAGGGGACCTTGCACGACAATATTTACGTTCTACTGTTGCTGTAGTCGAACGGTGAGACGGACGTGTAGTTCAGTTTTGGGCACGCGTACGGTGCTGCAGGGATTATATATAGGTGTAGTAGTACCTCTTCGGGCTCTTGTAAACCTTTTTCTTGCTACGTGTGCGTGTTCCTTAGATCCTCAGATGGCTCCAGCACTTTCGTGACCACGGGCCGAGAGTCTTTGCTAGATTTTGGCATTTAGCAACTGGCATACGTTTTAATGTGAAGTCAACAACAACAACAACAACTGTAATTTCATTCCGAAATCGAAGTAACCGAGTCTGTTTTTGTATCTCAAAGGGGTGAGGACAGGTTCCAACAAGACTGTTTTGGTGGCGTTTTGTTTTGGTAGGTCATGCTAGAGGCGCTCAACAACAATGCAGAGCTGGTGGGTAGATGAATCAAATCGATAGATCCATCAAGCGGCTGTTTCCTCCGTGGAAGCGCCCACCGCGAAAATGAATGTTGGTTTACAAGGGGGAGTGTCTTTCGTGTTCGGTTGGTCTTCGAAGACGGTAGTCAACAGCGATAATCGTTGGGAAAATGGATGCGTAGCCTGCAGCACGTCGGCGTTTCGTCAAATCCATTCCGTTCATTGGTTTCTCCGTCGCTGTCTTGCACGTTGTGTGTTGCGCGTCGTGAAGATGTTCTAACATGTGCATGTAGAATATTGCAAGTAACGAGAGGGGCTGGACCAACGCCGAACACTTTTCTCCGTCCAAATCGAAGGCAAACGCCGAACGCAGAAAAGGACAGCCGAATTGAAGGGAGACCTGGCATTTTTCCACCTTCCGTACATCTCCATGTGGAGCGTTCAAGCACGCACCGAAACATGCAGCCGGGTGCCGGACAGGACGGTACGCCACAACACCCGCGCATAAACAAATCACAGACGACGTACATCGGGCACGTCGGTTTGAATATTGTACGTATTCTAGAGGGCTTCACTATATTCGTTGAGGTTCCAGAGCCAAGCGCGAAAAGACTTTCGGGACTCTAAATCTCCTACGAGTGTCCACAGGACAACACCTGTTCCGACCTTGATAGATATACTTGTAGCAATGCCAAGTGGTTGTAGGATTGTGTGGTACGTGGAATGTATTTCCAGGGTATGCAAGGTACCCCTGTTGTATACTGCGTCGCCCCCTCATGGTGGTGCGTGCACGCGTGCCTTTCAGTTCGTGTGAGTTCATGTGAGTTCATGTGAAGGAGAAGTTTATGCAACCAACCCTACACGTATTTCCTCTTTGGCGCGAGTTCGCTGAGTTGCCGACACCCTATTCAACACACGTCTTGCGACAAGCTACCCCCAGTTCGTATCATCCTAACACGCTAGCGTGTTGATATCATACGGGATCCCGAGGTGAGGTTAGCTACAAAAGGGTTCGGCTAGAGAAGTAGACTATGGAGGAAGCCCTCGACCTCAGCAGCTATACTGAGGAGGATCGCCAAGCATTAGCGGCGCACATCAAAGAGGAGGTAGAGAAAAAAGTACAATAGAAGATGAAAGAACAAGAAGAAAAGCGTCCCGCTTCAGAGAGCGTGGACATGCCCCCCGATGGAGGCGATCCCCGGCATGCTCGGCCGGCTGGAACAGCGTTGAACCCGCAACCTGAAGACCAGCCACGATCGTTGGAAGACCGTCTCGTTGATTCGTTCGCACGGGCAATGCGAAGGACCAACACCCCGGGGGAGGAAACCAGGGAAGTCGTAACCCCTAAGGACACCATCCGTGTCAGCCCTGTAATACATGTAGCCCCATTTACGGGTGTGTTAGATTCCAGTGGCGATGTTCAAGTTAGAGTACAGGTGTTTGAGAGCCAATTTCGAATGCTGTTGCAACAAGAAGATTGCCTGAATGCAATAGTATCAGAAGAGACAATCAGGGTGGGGAAGTCGGATGCAGACATTCCCAAACTGAAGGAGGAGTATGGTAGGAAGGCCGTAGAGAAGGCCATGAAGGCCTGGCAGTGTATACTGGCAAAGATTCAAGTTGCATCGATCGTACCAGCAATCATCTCTAGTGGTTGCCCAACGGAGTCATGGCGAATATT